GGGCTGATAAGAGTTTTTCTTTTTAAAAGTATCTCTATTGAGATTAAGAAGCAAAATATGTTGAGGAGTTGTCGAAATTCTTTGTACCATATGTTTTTATGAAACTCGATTGATTCACACTATTAAGCCAACATTAGCAAGTTTCATTCTCTTTTTGAGTGCCATTCCTTCAGTACCTTTTATTATAACACCTGATATCTTTCCAAAATCTCTTTCAAAAGTCTTGGTCAAGTCATTCTTGGATTGAAACTTGACTCCTTATTTTGGTATTCTTCTTATTACAAAAACAATAATAAGATGTGTGTGTGTTTTTAATTAGAACTGTAATAGATCAATTGATTTTTTTCATCAAATGTTGATCTGATTATTTTGCTAGCAAACCATCCCTTTATAAGTATAGGGGTAAATAATAATAACTTATAAAATATCCCGACGATCTCCAAGAATTATGACATGTAACCCTTTTGAGCAATATTGCCGAGGCTGGTATTACTTATAAATTATAATTTTGAAAATAAAGTAATTGCTTTAAAAGAATATTTTCTGAGATATCCATGGAATAGTGTGCTATGATATATCTGGAAAGATATGCATATCTATGAGATCATGGTTGTTCTTAGAAATCAGTCCATATGATAAAAAAAAATCTTTTTTCTTTTTTCCAGTTTATACATGTATATTTGATTGTCTGAGCCTCGGTACGATTATTTGGTTGTCTTACTAACGATTTGACAACTAAAAAAATCACCTATTTGGTTGGAGATTTCTGTGTCTCACCCTCCAGATAGGGGAATATTCTCTATTGTTAATCAATACATCAGATTTGTTTAAAGTCCATAGACAAGAAAATTTTCATAAAAGCTGAAGGCCAGACAAGGTTGATCAGTTTCTTCAAATATTGAAAAGCTGAATGTCTTACAATTCTTTCATTAATCTTAATCCTGCCAGGACATGCTGACTGACTATATTCAAATATATATATTGCAAATTCTGGTTAAATATTTGAAGTCTATCACTTTTTTTCTTGTGTAATAATACAACTAGTTACAACTATATAAAAAAAAAAAACAAGCTAGAAAGTAAGAATTCTCTAAGCAATGCATGATTATTAAAATAAAGAATTATTTAGGCTAGAAGGAACACTACATCTTCGTTTCATCCGCAGTACGGTGATAATTGTGATCTCGCAAATGAGAGCGTTTATAAGTTTTATTACGCTACCCTCGAGGATGCGGCGCTGCAGTTACATTGTTTACAATACCGGAACTGTGGAAGTTCAAGCGAACGTCTGTTTGCAGAGGTCTATTAGGTCTACCTATAAGTATGTTTTTTATAGGGATGTACACGTCGACAATAAAATGAGACTCAAGATTAACATTTCATCATGTCTTCCTGTGAATGATTCTCGGACAAGCTGAGCCAGCGAGTGTAGATGGTCGGAAACTTGAATGGTGGGAAACTTCGATGATCTTGTTGGATTACGATGTGGACCACCTCAAGATGGTCATTTGAATCAATAGCACGTTTGCAAAAGTCTCCATTAGTCCTGAATTAATTGGAGGGTTTTAAAAGTAAATGGTCTAGAAATACTCGGGAAGAAATGTCTCTTCCTTTCTCTCAATGGAGCAGACGGGCACCTGAAGCGTACGATATGTCCGCCATATTTAAGATCAAATTCAGACTTAAGTCTGCCCTGTAGCAGTCTTAGGATTTAGGACAGAAATTTAGACTTAAGACTTAAGATTTTTTTCATGATCCCCAGGCTAAATCTGTTTTTAGACTTAAGTAAAAAAAAACTTTGGACTGAAGTCCAGAATTATACGTAAGTCCGTTTCATGATCCCGGGCCCAGGAGTTTTATTTCTCTCTAGTGTGTCCTATTTATCAGGTACTATGGTGAAAGTACTGAGATGCGTCAAAAAAAGTAAAACCTTAAATCATTTTATAATATTGGATGTTTTGGTCAAATCTTTTGCTAGTATACACAAAGATGTCTACATAGCTACAAAACTGACTGTAAACAAATTCTACCAGATTATGACAGAAAAGGTGGAATCGTGTCAAGTAGCTCATTGGAAATGGTGCACTGCCTTGTTGTCAAGTGCGACAGCACTAAAGATTGAGCTTCTCATCCTAGTAATTTCTTAATTTAGTTAAATGTTCATCTTTATGCTTTGAAAAAATAAGAATTAGGAAAATTAGTGGTTTTCCCATTGAATAATACAATGTAATTCAAATTTGACATGTATGGCAAAATATAAAGCTATTTTTTCATAATAAACTGCTCTCAATAAAAAATAAAAAAATCTGCCAAGATCCCAGTGCTTATGAAATATTATGGTATTCAACAGGAGACCAGAGCACACTTATAGCTGGTAAGCATATAAATTAATTTAAAAAAATAAACGAAAGTCAAAACAAAAACAAAAGGATGGCTCATACATTTTTAAGTCTTATTAAGTTACAGTAATTAACCTATTAATCAATAAATTATTTCAGTAAAATTATGTGCAGTTAAATTTAACTTTAGGCTCTTCATGCAAAGGGATGTAGGATAGAGAAATTCCATCCTCAGGATTTTCAAATTGGGTAAAACCCAAGGCTCTACAGTATATTTTTCTCATTCTAATCACTTGAATGATTGATCAGAAACAAACAAAAAATTTGCATTTTCAATTTTAAGTATCGCAGCATTGGAATGGTATGTTCCTTTGTGACGTCGACAGGCACATGAAATGGGGTGAAGATAGAAATTTCTCACAACCCTTTCTTGCCCTGGACAGTTCTGTCATATGCTCACAGGAATGAGATAGATATTAAATAGCCTTCCTCATACAGGAAAGAATTAACACGAACAGATGATTACACAGGTACATCAAAGTGTTCTACAGGAAACAAAAGATTCAACCATCCCGAAAAACCTTGAAGTTTATCCCTTGGCAGATCACCACATTCCTGCAATCAAATCTCGCTCACCTGTATAATTCCTGATGTTATCATTTATTAGTTAAACAATTGTCCCAATTAGTGATTTGTCATCAGTTTTTGGCTGATCCACTAACTTCAAAACATAATCCCCCAATTAAGCACAGTCTAGTAGATTTAAATACATGTATTTATGTACAGGCCTATATCATCACTGTTTGAGATGATCACCTGTCGCCTTTGATTGTATTTTTTAGAATACTACTCCACTGACCTACAAAGTGTATAACATATTGACCTTGAACTATAAAACAGACACGTGTACTGTACATCCCGGTTCCTATGACAGGAAATACTTTAAATATGTAACAGGAAAGAGATTAGTGGGCTTCCATCGGGGATCGAACACATGATCCCTAGGTTCTTAGTCAGACACTCTACCACTGAGCTAAAGGGAAAACTCCCTCTAGCGCGACCTTAATCCTATGTACAATTAAAACCTGCCACACTACTCCCCCCTTTTTAAATGTGTTTGCCCTCAAACACCACAACCCAGGATCTAACTCCCTGTCACCACAGGGAGGGCCACAGGCACCATTAAAACAGGAAAGAGAGTAGTGGGCTTCCACCAGGGATCGAACACACGATCCCTAGGTTCCTAGTCGGACGCTCTACCACCGAGCTAAATGGAAATCCCTCTAGCATGAAGCTAGAAGGCGACCATAATCCTATTTACAATTAAATCTTCCACATATACAAAGATATATGGTTTTCGTGCATAATTAAACAAAAATATCCCCCCAACGCCCAGTATTTCTGCTAGCCCAGCCTCTATTCCCTAACAGCCATTGATCCCAGAAAGTTACGGACCAAAATACCATTACTCTTTGACTCATCATTAATTAGATGTTAGGAGAGACCCCTCTAGTAACAAAGCTATTACTCTAATCTCTTCAACGACAAAGCTACCTAGACTAAATATCATGAGTCCAGGATGCATGGCTTGATGGAAGAAGTTGTTTAGACACTTGTGACTTCGAAAACTTTACAGAAATGTCTTAACATTCAATATTTTTGTAGATTTTTTTCAGGCAAATTCAAATTTTTTATGAGCTAGTCCAATTACCAAGAGATATATTAACTCTCAAAAAGTTGGTGAGAGTCAAAGGAAAAGCAAGACTCCACGACTCGCATATCCGAGTCCCATAAATCATTTGGTGCTTTTCATAGATAGTGTTTTACCGTAGAATTAACAGCAATTATTTTCAAATTTCGGTATTTTACAAATTTTTACTCATCTGAAACTTGACTTATATACATGTGCTAATTTGACCTTTAAAACAAATTTACTGAATGCGTTATGAAATTGCATTTATGGGGAAAATTTTAGCATCATTCATATATTATATATAATTACTTTTCTACAGATTTTGGGTGATCAAGCATGGAACATTGGCAATTATTTCAGAATTTCATTTTTTTAACTGTTTTCAATAAACAGAATGTTATCAGTTTTACCATTTAGCATTGTAGTAAGTTTAACTAGCACTTATAGTTTGTTTAGGAATAAAATGCATAAAAATATCAGTTTTGACCTCATTTGATTTCTGAAACCTGTAATGAACTTTTTGGTAAACCAAAACTTGAAATCGATATTTAACCTTACATTTAACAGTACCTGGATGGATTCTGATCCATCATAGATCTATACATGTACTAGCAACCCGTTAACAAAAATGAATTTGTTACGTCCCTTTTTAAATGTCTTTATACCATTTGATAAATGTTATTACTTGGCCTTCACAAGCACACAGCTAGATTTTTTAAGCGTAAACATATATTTCCTTTATTTTGATAGTCAACAAAAAAATTGACAGGAGAAACTTAGTAAACAATTTTTTATCAGTCTGTACATGAATGTAGGGCTATAGGATCACATCACAGCACAAAACTTGCCCCACTGTTTACAATGAACACAGCAAATCACTGAAGCAAACAACACTGAATAGAGTACTCCATTCATTAGTTTTTTAGTTTTTAACATGTATCCAGCGATCATCAATAATTCAAACTGACCTGTATATCTTCAGAATCGGGATTGATTCTCACTCTACTGAGGTTCTAATTAACATTCTACCCATGATTAATAATATAACAATACACTCTGCTTTGATGCTTGGTTCTGGTTGCTAAACAGCCATGTCCTTGCCAGTATTAGGCTGCAATATGTTGAAATACATGTCCCAAATATTTCAAGAGATATAAGGTTTCATCCCTATTAATATCATGGTAGACTCTACTTTCATTGATAAAAGGTAAATCTAAAACACTCTAGGGGAGAAGTGTACATAAAAAGGACAGAAAAACAAGTTATTTGACTGATGTCTTCATTAGAAAGCTTTGTTAGGTTGACATAATCATAAACAACATTTTCAAATTCTTTTTTCTTTAATGTTGAAATATTAAATTCTTTTCATATCTCAATTGACCTAATTTATACACAAGAACAGCTAAAAGCTTTCCATTTTTCTGTGAAAATTGTATACGTCTGGATGAATATAGAAATTTATCCTAAATTTCACCCTTGATTTTCTGTTAAGCTGAAAAGGCATCAACTGAATAATTAGGCCAGGACCTTAGTCACCACTGGGGAGATGAATGCAGAGCTCTCCAAGTTTGGACGAGGTTACAATATGCTGTTATGTAAGGTTGAATGAACCTCTAAGCTCGTCTTTATCGTTTATGGAAAGTTCATTATATTGGGAGAGGGTGGGGTTGTGTTTCTGTATTTTAAGGTTTGTTAACTCATTCACCCCTGAAATTTCATAATGAACTATTCCAACCTTTGAATTGGAAGGGTTCAAATGTGTCTTCAGGGGTGAATGGTTTAAATGTAAATATCTTTCAAATACTGTTTTATGGTAGGACTATTTTACTTTTTTTCCCCAGTTATTCTTGGAAAGATTTCCAAATCCTATTGGGAAATGAATTAAGTTTTATTTCATTTTTTTTTTATTTTTTTTTTAAATCATTACAGACAGAAGTTTTAAAAAGGTCAGTTACGGCAAATAGTGTTCATTATCTTCAATGGCCAAATTTAAAAAAAAAGGTTTTTACAGTAACGTCTTTGAAAAAAAGGTCGTCAATACTGGGCACAATATAATTTATATACTTTTTCTAATTTATAGGGAACACAAATCATTACTTAACAATGTTTGGTGAATATTTTCTTAGTAGCTAGTATATGGACCAAAAAGTAGGCTACAAGAGAAAGTTTTATATAAGCAGTTCACCTACCACATACCAGGTAATAAAGGACTTTTTAGTCCTATAATAAAATTAAAACAGAACTTAATTTTCTTCATAAAGGCTACATTTTGTCCAGTAGACGAAATTGAGATGACACTGCTGCTGAGACTTTTTTTTCTCCTTTTAAAATAATTCAATATTTTGGGCATTCTATCTTTATTAGAATCCAAAGGGTAAAATTTCTTTGAATAATGTTTTAATTATCTATTATAAAATAAGATATTGCTTCATAAATAGTACAAGAAATCGGTTGAATAAATGAAAGCATGTATGCATGATGTAAAATAGATGATAATCATCTCCTTGTAGAACCAGCCACGGGTAACACATGGTTGGCTATGTCTATTTATAGCATACAGATTACCTGTAGCTGATGTTACCAGGTAACTTAATTAATGTATAAAAGACTGTTTGTGGTGAAATTTGAGAGTAACAAGAGTAAGCATTAATATAGCAGATGAAAAGAATAGTATATAGCAAATGACTACGAAATTAAAGTTGCTGAAATCCCCGATCCCAATCTAGATTAGTTGCGCATTTTTTGTAACTTTTATTTGCACTTTCAATTTGATTTCAAATCAGTCAGCATCTGCTGTTTTCAGTCAGAGACGCTTCAATCGGAATTGTCTGTCACTTACCTTACTTTGCTGTAAAGCTAGCTTAAACTCCTTTTTAAAAAAGTCATTTATACGACTGTACTTTCAGATCGTGTTTCCAGTCGTGTGTCGGCTTGCCTGCTATGGTTTGACACATGTGGATAAATATTTGGGCAGGGCCCCATAGCAGACCGCACTTCCTACTTCAGGATATCTCGCGAGATCTCGTTTTCCGAATAATGGCGCCCGATTTGAAGCAGTGTTGTTGATTTCGCTGCAAGTAAGTAAACACATTTACATTCCAGCATAACAATAATTACTTTGACGGAGCATCAGAAATGTTGAAGGTTATCAAATTTCTTGTAAATACCGTACATGACGATTTCTGATCCACGAATTAGATGTGCTGGAAAGGTTATTTTGAACATCTTCTACACCCCCACAAACGGGCCGCCCACAAACTATCTAACCAAAAGACATGTGATCTCGAAAATGTTCGTGCATAAAAGCTTTTTATAACTCAATCGCAAAAAAAATCATCCGAAAAACATAGACTTTTCAATCCATGTCTGTGGACTCCCGACTTGTACTGTAGGCGTTTCGGTACCAAATGTTTATGATGTTTCGGTATTTGTTTGTAAAGACAAAATATGCAGAATACAATATTTTCAAAGCTGTTTTTTTTCCATTTATTTCTGTTAATTTGATTAAAGATTGTTTCAAAATTTAAAAAGGAAGAAATAAAAACCCATATCCATTTGGGAATGGGATAGATATGACCAAAATTACTATATAGCATATGTCTTGTTTTTATTTCAGAAATGAATAAGAGGGAAGAACTGCTGTCTGTCGTTGACAATGAGGACCTGCAGAAGTTTGTCAAGTTTGTCCAGACTGTGAGATTTATTTTGCTTTACGTTTAGTTGTTTTCGTTGTGCTTATAACAGAGAACATGTCCAGCTAATACTATCTTAAACATATATCACGCTTACAAATAAAAATAACACAACGGAGAAGTAATATTGAATATTGTAAACTAGCTGGGTTGATTGGAGACTTGGGAAAACTTAAATAAATGTGGCAGTGGGAATTTGTCAAATAGTAATATGGGGTCAACCTCATTCCCAAGTAAGTTGAGAAGGGTTTTTTCCCAATTAGTAACAGAAAACACAAAACAGAAAATCTACAAAGAAAACAGGAACTTCGATTTTGCTTCTTGCAAATCATTCCACTTCCTTATTTCCTTACAAAAATGACAGTCGCGTTAATCTCAATCCCCTCCTCTGTCATACAAACTGACATTCGCGTTAATCTCAATCCCCTACTCTGTCATACAAATTGACAGTCGCGTTAATCTCAATCCCCTCCTCTGTCATACAAAATGACAGTCGCGTTAATCTCAATCCCCTACTCTGTCATACAAATTGACAGTCGCGTTAATCTCAATCCCCTACTCTGTCATACAAACTGACAGTCGCGTTAATCTCAACCCCCTCCTCTTTCATACAAATTGACAGTCACGTTAATCTCAATCCCCTCTGTCATACAAACTGACAGTCGCGTTAATCTCAATCCCCTACTCTTTCATACAAATTGACAGTCACGTTAATCTCAATCCCCTCTGTCATACAAATTGACAGTCACGTTAATCTCAATCCCCTCCTCTGTCATACAAACTGACAGTCGCGTTAATCTCAATCCCCTACTCTGTCATACAAACTGACAGTCATCTTAATCTCAATCCAGATACATATTTTTGGTAGATTTCTGATCAATTACACAATTTTCTTTACAGTTAAAGTCTGAGGCAGTTGACTTGGTGGAAATCTTAAGTGGCTGTAGCAAGAAACAGCTGGACAGACTGTGGGAGGGCGTACAGCAGACATGTGCTGTTACCATGCTGAGTATCGAGGCGGGGGACGACGACAATGGCGACCATCTGGAGGAGGTAGGTATCAGTGGAGTACAGCAGACTTGTGCTGTCACTATGCTGAGTATAGAGGCGGGGGACGCGACAATGGCGACCATCTGGAGGAGGTAGGTATCAGTGGAGTACAGCAGACATGTTGTGTCACCATGCTGAGTATAGAAGCGGGGGACAGCGACAATGGCGACCATCTGGAGGAGGTAAGTATCATTGTAGTACAGCAGACTTGTGCTGTCACCATGCTGAGTATAGAGGCGGGGAACGCGACAATGGCGACCATCTGGAAGAGGTAGGTATCAGTGGAGTACAGCAGACATGTTGTGTCACCATGCTGAGTATAGAGGCGGGGGACGCGACAATGGCGTCCATCTAGAGGAGGTAGGTATCAGTGGAGTACAGCAGACATGTGCTGTCACCACGCTGAGTATAGAGGCGTGGGACAGCGACAATGGCGACCATCTGGAGGAGGTAGGTATCAGTGGAGTACAGCAGACATGTTGTGTCACCATGCTGAGTATAGAGGCGGGGGACAGCGACAATGGCAACCATCTGGAGGAGGTAGGGATCAGTGGAGAACAGCAGACTTGTGCTATCACCATGCTGAGTATAGAGATTGGGGACGCGACAATGGCAACCATCTGGAGGAGATAGGTATCAGTGGAGTACAGCAGACATGTGCTGTCACCATGCTGAGTATTGAGACGGGGGACAGCGACAATGGCGACCATCTGGAGGAGGTAGGTATCGGTGGAGTACAGCAGACTTGTGCTATCACCATGCTGAGTATAGAGGCGGGGAACAGGACAATGGCGACCATCTTGAGGAGGTAGGTATCTGTGTATAGCAGACATGTGCTGTTACAATGCTAACATACTGCGTCACCAAGACAATGCATGATATGTCTTGCTCAAAGGACAAAAGCAGTAACAGGCTTCAACTTACAAAGTGATAATGATGTACAGTATTTTTAGTCCTTCAAATTCCTTGGGTCTAAAACATCAGTAAATTATTATTTTCTGATGAATCAAAGGAATATGTAGATGCACAGGACGAAAGTATCTGTTGGATATAGAAGGAGTCTTAGAACTCAACTCAAATAACAATATCAAGGTTTTATTGTGAAAAAGTATTTATGACAAAAATCTATGATAATGGATTGAATATTTAGAAGAAAGTAGTATAGTTTCAAAATAAACCCAATTCTATTTGCACCCGTCTATGATTGGACATATTATGGTAGGTTGTGTTATTTATCAGGGTGTCTGGCTGGCTAGTTTGGTGTAAATAATATTTTTTTCAGAGCATAAGTTCCTCTCTTAAATCACCTAGGTTCACCCAACTGGCTATGCTTGTTATCTCGGGAAGCCTCAAAAAGCTCAGTGCCACGTACTAAAATGGTGTCTTGTTTCCAAATACATACAGAGTTATGGCCCTTTGTTAATCTTAAATTGCACCTTGTCATATAATTATTCCTTTAGCTAGGGGGATGAATAATTGTAATTTTTTTCCAAAGAATGCCCTATTTCAACAAATATTTTATACTAAGCAACAAATATGATCTTTCAAAAAAGTTTGAGATTAAATATCACATGTTAAACAAAACATTTACAATTTTTAATGCTTATACATGAAAAATCAACAAAAAGCATAACCCTGTTTTTGCCTTTGCTGTGTGAATTTAACATCATGGTATCATTGATATGATGTAAATTGTTGTTTGTAGGAGATGATGAAGATTCTAGAGGTACTCCAGTGTGTTGTCGACTTGGCATCGGCCGCTATACAGCAGGAGGAACCCCATGTTTCACCGTGTTTAAAATCTTCAGCAGTCTTGTTACTGGGTAAACAGTACATTAATGTTTTGTCTATTTTCCATCATATCTATAAATGTTTATCTGTTAATCATTTTCTTACCAATCTGGATACTAGGAGAGTATTGTACACAATCTCCAAACTAACTTTTGTGGTCCATTGTCTGAAGGAATAATTGGGGGGGGGGGGGGGGGGG